CCTTGACCGGTCATCACTGAAACTCAGCAGACTCCGAAGCAAGACATCATTGAACTGTTCTTGGTCTTATTACTATTATGGTTGTAAAGTCAGTAGCAAGGACGGAAGGCCGTGGGATGCCGATGGCTCTGAGGCTTTTGTTGGCTGCTTACAGTATATAACAGGTTTCCTTGATGATCTCACCTCGTTGTTTTGTCTAGGGCCTAAGAATAGTAATAATGAACTAGAATATTAGGACTACAGTACTGCTGACTGCACACTAGAAGCACTTACATGTGAGTCTGCAGATGGCCGTGACAGGACGGTAGTCAGAATTTAGCGTCTAGAATCTAGCATGAAATCACAGACCTTAACTGATACATGCTTCACTGCACACCGACTACTGACTTGATCGAACCGAACCACCATCACTAACATTACTAACTACACCCTGACCCTTCTACATATCAAGTTCTTTACACCCTGACCCTGAACACTCACGTTAGATTAGACCTTCCCATCCTGAATTCAGAGCTCCTGAACACAACAAGTTGATTTTGGATGCGTATGACTTGGTTAGAACCCCAAATGCAGCAGAATCAAGCTCTCAAAGCAACGTCATGGGACAGGTAACAATGTAAAATGATGACAGTGACAGGAAGTGTGACATATGTTCGAACCCTCATCTGTATATTCACCAGATCCTCCCTGGAATCCTGGAATCTTTTTTTTATTATTACTAGACCGGCCAGTTTGACTTGAAGTTACGCTGAGAACCGACAGAACCCCAGGCAAGATCTGGCACCAGAATTTACAAGACGCTCAATTTAGCATGAACGTATAGTTGTTCAGGATGTTTGTAGAAAATATTTGCTACATGACAGGATTTTGCGCCATGGAAACAATGATTAACTAATAGTCTAAGACTTTAAGCATTCCCGGGCTCATGTGTAAGGCTGTATAACATAAATACGGAAGGGTGGGCTGAAAATAGATTGATTCACTAATGTAGCTGCACAACTTAAATGTGACTCCGTCCCACTGCCTTTAACAGTGACAAGTAACAGGTGACGTAATGCCTCGCCCCTTTGAATGGGCTAAGTTTCAGTTACTTGGACTAAGGACCCACTGAAGGCATTTAATGGGCTGTTCTGTTAACCAACAACCAGCCATGCCCCATAGAAACAATGCTTAGCGGCACCTGTCCCAGGGGGCGTCACAGACTGCACAGCAAACTTGGGCGTGGCCGAGGTGGTTGGGGTAGTAGTGCTGGGCGGCGGGGTGCTCGAGGTCGGTTCGCCAACCCTTGCCTTCCTCAAGGGGGGGTCTGCATCCGAGTCGCTGTCGTCAACCTTGTGCAAGGACAACTTCATGGGCTTACCAGAGGCTTCCTTCCCTCCACCGTCAGCCTCCTGGAAGATGGCCATGCACCACTTCTTCACAGTACCCTGACCATCCTGAATGAACGGAATCCCACCCTTGCCATACTTCACCATCCACTCGCCAGTGGGGGGCTTCGGCAAAGGCCGCACAATGCCACGGCACTCCAAGAGGGCGGTTCCATCTTCTGGGCAATGGGCAGGGTGTTGGTTTAAGCTTTGGGTCTGCTGGCTTTTAATTCAGGGAGGACGAGTTTGCTTGGTTTGTTAATTGGTTTGACACCCAGGAAATTTCAGACAGGTCTTGACTGGGCATAGTCATCACAACGTCATCAACCGGAACTGCTATTAATGGGCGACTACATCTAGCTGCTCCTCAGAACTCACTGCACGGAATCTCATGCTGCAAGCAACGGAGGTTGACCACCCGGAAAGTCTGATTTTTCGATAGCTCTATCTCCGTCAGGCGTACCAGGTCCACCAGCTCACACGAGTCCATGGGTTTGCCCAGGTGCTGGTACTCCTCCACCAGGGCCTGTCCCTGGTCAGCCTTCACGAACCTAAGTTGAGGTGACCCGTTGAAAGCCCAAGGCCCACTGCTACAGTTACAGGGTGATCAAGGCTTCAAGGATGACAATTAGAGCTCATTGATAGGCCTCTTTCATTTCCTTTATTCTACAACCAATGAACCTTTATTTCTTATTCACGCCAGAACGTAACTCTAGTAACCCCAGCTAGAAACAGCAACAGACCCTGACAAACTGACTGATTGATTGGACATGGTGACAGTCAACAAGCCACTGGGACTACCACACTGAATTCCTTTCTTTAAACATGTGAACCCTTGCATGCTACTTAAAACTTGCTAGGGGGTACCTGCACCGTGTAGGCTATAGGAAATTTCCAGATGGACACGAACCCGACTGAACAATTATGATTCGATGACTCAACTGCAGTAGTGCTACCAAACTAAAATCCCAAACAGCATGAACCTCAAATCTGGACGATCCGTATATGGGCTCTGACGCAATCCCCCCCCCCCCCGGACTCCCTTCTCAATCAGCGCCGACTCACACAGTGCTGAAACTGAAGCAGGGCGAACCAAACCATACCCTGTGAATCTAACCGGATCTGATTCATTTCAGTAGACTCAACTTTGCTCGAGCGTTACTTCCATAGATCTGACCACGGATCATTATGAGGACCAATGACTATGGGAAACTAACTAGACTCGCCCTATGAGAACTTCTAGTCTCACCCCTAGGACACTCAACGAACACAACACTGCACACCTGACATGCTCAATTCAGCCTGTTATAGTCTAAGTCTAGGTGAATTTGTTGTAAGGAAAACCACGGGACGTATCCAGCGCCACTGAGGGCCCTTTGCGAAACATTGCGAAGAATGCCATGCGGATAGTCTTCGAGGAGAGCGAATTTAAGTAGCTCTTGCCACACTTCTCCCTCTCAGCCATGTGCATGAAGTCTTTCAGGTGGCTGTCCTCTGCAACTTATGATGATAAAAAGCTATGAATTCTGGCAGCAACTAAACATTGCTATAATTTAACTTGTCACGTGCATCAATCAATCCACTTAATTCTATTTATTTAAAGATTGACCAGTTACTTACTTAATAATGGCATATACTACAATTAAAAATCACAAGCCCGAACATCATATTACATGTCAAGGAATACTCCCATAGTAACTCAGTACTTGACAGAACAGGTTTGGATCTGCGGCCTGGGGCTGGGAAACCTGAACTTTGAAACCTCTGAAACAAACCTGTAAACTGCAGTCGTGTTAACTGTTAGCCACACATATGTATATATACATAATAGTTTAGCTTCCAATTATTTATTTAATAAGACTGATTATGGTTAGGACAAGGAATGGCAAAGGGGAGCGTGTAATACATAATGACATAAGTAGCTGCCTGCAACCGTGGTTCGGGGACTTTCCTCCAGCATGTAAAGCTGGTGCTGAGCATCGTGACCTCACCCTTTCTGGCTCGCTTTTTGGGAGCACCCCCCCGACTTCCGGACGCGGCTCCACGGCTCCTGTTACTTCTACCAGCCGATGACTGGTAATCATTGCCATCATCATCAGGGGCCGCATCCGTAGTGATCAGGTTCTCGTTACCCTCCCCCATTGGATCAAGCAGTGCACACGCCATGATAGACGGAACGTGAAGAAGTCGTGGGAATCCTGCACTACAGTGCTTCCTGGCTGGAGCCGCTCTTAAATTCCAAATACAAGGACATTCACTGTCGGCTTCCTAGGTTCTTGCCGGGTCAGGTGCTAGATTGCAATCACAACACTTGCATAGGCCCCGGTGGCAGGCCAGCACCACTTTAAGGCTCGGCGCAGCCGTGTCCATTTTTACCAGGGGACTCTGGTGCAGCGCTGGGAACTGGAAAGAAATTCTGCAGCAGCTTAACCGCTGGGGCTCATGAATGAGAATGGCTAATTGAATAAGTTGAATCGTCAACTTCCACTTCCTGCTAGAAATCAGTAATACTACAACTAACACTTTAGAGTCGTGACTCATGATACATTGGAATTGACCCGCCCCACTTGCGGCCTCCGAGCTGCTTGGCTGATTGCTCCTGTCCGCCTGTACAAACAATCAACCTGACTGACTGACGGCCTCAGCTCCTTGAGACTTCGGTTCGAGGAATGAAGTTCAGCCATAACATTGTCAGTTCAAACTGGTCTATGCTACTTACTAGTTATTATGCCTAGTCATTTGTCTCTGAGTCTCCATGGGCCAACAGTCGGAATAGCCTAAGGGCCTATGTCTCCGTCTTTGCTACATTTGCCTGAATCTACTGTTCGTGAAACATCATTGTCATTCCAACGCGCAGCCGCATGAGGCAGCCACATGACAGTACTGCGCAGCTACAACTGAGTCACTGTACTGAATGCGGCCTCTGCGCCCCTGGGCCGCTAGCTGCTTCTGTCTGATTCCTCCACGTCCTAGCACTACACCCTGTCTACAGACTTCATCCATGCAACTTTGTTGTGTGGAGATCTACTTGTACACATCTTATTCTTCACGGCAGTGACTCTTAGACTAGATTGAATGAAAGTCAGGCAACTAAATGGCATACTTGTTGTATAGGCGCCGAAACAAAAAAGGGGCCCTGCCTGCCGCCTATATGTAGACTAGAATCTTAGGATCGATTCTGGGGCTAGGGGTTACAGGTTTGCCGCGTCTACTTGATTCCTAGACTTCACCCTGGAATCTGAATTTTATGTAATATTATGAAATCAAACCCAAGGAACAAGCTACTCCCTGTGAAACCTCTGATGCCACTACCAGGTTACAAGGTGGCCAATGCCTACTCTTACTCACTCTACCTGATCAGGACCTGGTTCGGTTCAGTCTACCAGCTACCGCTACTGTAAAAAGAAACATCTAGCCACGCCCCCCTGATTACTGATGATGATGTACTGGAACAATGCTATAATAAACATATCAGCAGCTGACTAATTATCTGACTAACATTATTCAGAAATACAGGCTGCTGACCAGCAGACTTAACCTGGCAGACTGATGTAAATGGCTATATGATTGATTACTTAGTTACAACATGCCATTGCCAACAATAATCAGTGTCACAACTGTAGTATTAACGGATCAGGACAGCTCCAGCCAATTGTTGTCACGGTCAGCATCCTCACTGCGCCGTGGTCCAAAACATGTCAAAGCAATGAGCTGCATGATTCCACATGTGGTAAAGTGGAAGCTGTTCCCGCACAAATCTGCGGCGCGTTGTGCGTCTGTGGCCCCCAACTGGGGGACGTTCATTGCGTCCGCAATCTCACGCACACAAGGAAACGCCATTGAGGCCAGTCTTTCTTTCGATGTGAGAAAACGATTTTGGCACGGAAGCCAATACAATCCTGTCTTCGAATTGCATCTGTAGGTCGGTATCTTTGAAGAATGTGCTGACCAAGAACAGTATTCTGCACTGTCTCCTAAAAAATAGACTAAGTTGTAGTTGAGGCCTGGCAACTCCTTGAACCGATCGTAATACTTCTGGTCCAGTTGCCGTCTGCAGTCCTCCTCCCTTGGCAACAACAAATATCGCAAGTCCTTCTGGCCAACCTGCACAGGAATATTGCGTCGGTACGCAAGTCGAGATGCCTCCAACAAAATTTCAGCTGGTGATGCAACTAGGAAATCGGCGACCTGTGCATTCACATGCCGTTGAAACGCAGTTGTAAGCAACCTCTGCAGATGAAAGGGGTCGTACAAGCAAACCGCTTCATCCTTGTGCGCTCCAATTACCCAGGTACGGTACCGTGCCGTCCCACTGAATCCCACGTTCCCTGGTTCAGAGAAGAGCTGGTAAAAGTCATGGTCAGGGTGCGTGTCTTCAATCACTCCCATGTCCAAGTCCTGATTGTTTGACAGACTTAGCGGCTGTACTCAGGGCTTTATTTCAGAAGATTAATATGTCAGGCTGTGACTGTCATACTAGACTAGGGTCTTAGAACTTAGTGCACAGGGCTCAAGGGGGCTTAAGGCATTGTAGTTGCGTTGTGTCTGGCAGACAGACTTCAAAAACCCTATTAACCTGATTATGACTACGTTTACATTGTATGTCCAGGCCCCTGGCCAGGCAGAGGTGCCAGTGCAATGCCTCGTCAATTTACTACCTGACATTCATTAGCCTGGGAAGTAGAAGTAGCATTGGTATCAGTGTTAGTATTAAAATTATTAAATACTGTTAAACTGTTAGTAGCACGGCACTGTAAATATTATTTGAATTATGGCTATTAATTTATTAGCAACTACTAACTACTAACCCTTATTAACTATTCAAACAGGAGGAGTAGCAGTAGTAGTAGGTAGTTGTAGGTAGTAGTAGTAGTAGTAGTAGTAGTCGTAGTAGTAGTAGTTCTTGTTGTAAGTAGCAGCGGTAGCAGCAGCAATGGCAGTAGCGGTAAGCAGTAACAGTATGTAGCAGTGTTGTTACACACAAGCGATTGCAATGACTGATCAAAGAATCAACTGTACTATGAATGATGACTGAATGTACACATGGTGTACATCCAGGCCGATTACTATAAGATACAGCCCGAGTACATTCATCAAAAGTAAAATGCTTATTCCGGAAGGGCTAAGTAAGTGACTGCAGATTGCCTATTCAAAAATAAAGCAGTTCAAATTCTCATCTTACAAGACAATCACTTGTAATTATAATTATACTGGAGCGAAGCACCAGGGCAACCGAGTCTCTTCAGTGCACTCAATGAGGAGAAGGGGGGTTCTTGACTCAGTGGTGTAACGCCCGTGAGCAATGTAGACAACATTTGTTGGCCCGGCTCTCTTCAATCTCTTTCCAGCCGTAGACATATCCGGGCATGGCAGCCCGGAAACATCGAAGATAGGACGCTTGTGAATGCTGCAGTCGGTACCATGAAAAGCACAGGGCAAAGCAGACACCACTTGCGCATCCTTTCCAGCAAGTAGCCTTCGCGAGTAAGGCATGTCCTTTTCATACCAAGAGGGCCCGAGTATATCACAGATATCACCAAACAGGCATGGCCGTGTTGTGTGCCCTGCCACTTTCTGGCACCAGCGCGCGCTCTCGTGGAGCAGCTGCTGGCAGGGACCAGCGAACTCCTTGGCTTATTACTTCTGTACACAATCAATTAATCTGAGCTGACTTCTTTGGATATACTGAAGTTCGGCATCGAACTATGCAGTACAGGCTAGGCTTGGTTAACTTCGACTCAATCCATCTCTATGTCTCATGTGTGTGATTCAGGGGCTTCTTGCAAGATTCCAACATTTGTTTTGGCAGCCTAGCGCCTCAGGCTCCCCAGTCCAGGAGTCCACTCCCAACATCTCCCAATATAAAAATACAATGCGGCTATGGACACACTTACTTCCACGGTGTTTAACGTTAAGGCTCTTGTTGACTTTGGGATCTTGTAGCGGGTTGACGGCTGAAAATACTACAGCAAAGGATTAGTAACAGTAGTCTGGGCCAAAGCATCATGTCAAATCAAAAGTCCTGAAGTCCTGGGTGGTTTGGATTTATCATACTTACTAATTACTACAGGTTTGTCTCCCAGACAGGCGTATGAATGACTCCGTATGACCAGTGAACCAGGCAAGTTGTTCGTTTTTTCTTGCGCACCGCTTTCCGTCACCCTTAGACTTATAGGCCCTACATGTCTAGATTTGTTAACTATAACTCAAAGATTAACCCATCTCAGTAGTTAAATTAGTACTGCCGCCTGCTACTTACCACTGCGACTGTGGTGTGTAAGGGTTGCCATTGCAGGACCACCGGGGTTTCCCTTTGAGCCTTACTAAATTACTAGGCTTAGGTTCCCTGTCAAAGATGTACATCTTGAGCTAAGGCAGTTCAATGTTGAGTCTGAGGGTGAGGGACAACCGTTGCCGTTACATGCAGGACGAATGAAATGGACTAAGGATTTCTGAGTCTGATGTGTCTCCTGAAACACTGAAGGTCCTGCTCACACACTGGAATTCATAATCTTAACAATAATCCAAGTCACGCAATCATGTATCGTCACCTCTGCTAGGAATCTAGCAACTTCAGTCTGCATTACTTCAGCCAGCCAAGTTTGATTCTGAATTCTGACGGCTTCAACGGATCTCCTTGAATTTGGGCGACTCATTCATTGCAAAAACCTGTTCCTTGGCAACCTAGGCCAAAACAGTATGCACACCAACAGTAGTGAAGCAAGTGCCTGTCACTACGAATATGTCCATGATTACTGATTCCACAAGCGAAATAGCCTCCATTCTAACTGGAACTTACGACTAAGTAGAATTCATGGACGAGGATCCCACAGCGCCACTGAGGGTATGCTGACAGAAAAGGGAACCTTGCCCGACTCATTGATGTCTCTCTCTAAGACAGCGCGCGCCATCTCCGCAGTTCCACACCCGGAACAGAAGCTGCTTGCACTGTCCGCATGCCGCAAGAATGAATCCTGACAGGGCAGGCCATTTTTTCTATTCGATGCGCAAGCAAATAAAACGTAGGGTTTCGCTGCCCTTCGTGCGCTAGGTAGTTTGCTGGGGCCCCTGGCCCTACTTTTGACACATAGTTTAGTTGTCTGGGGCATGACATCTCAATCTAACTAACTAACTAACTATCTCATGAGGGGTAACCTTGCGATAGCTGTGAAATTAAGTGATTCAAAGCAATAAGACCTTTGATTCCATGTTGAAATTAGAGCCAAGCCACCATCAGGCTTCTCTGAGGCAGGGTTTTGGCAACAATGTGCCAGGCGCTGCCAATACCGCGGGCGGCCTGCTCCAATGCAGACCAACTGCGTTCCTTATTCAAGGCAACAGCCATCATCATCATCATCATCAGCATCATGATATCCCCCCACCTTGTCTCAGTGATTGTCAAGGGTACACTCATGTGGTTGCATTGCTAGGGCTGGCTACTGCAGGCTGGCAACAGAGACAGTTAACGGTTAACAGTAACTCAACCGTCCAATTCAATGAATGAATTATTGCTGACCCACTGGTGACTAATGATGGTGACAAGTTGTGCGATTTTGGATTTTGCCCCTCCTATGACAACCTACCCTGGAAACCTAGAATTGACACGGAACTTTCACTGCAGCTAGGCTGCGTTGCCAAAGGCCGAACTCTGTGTCAGTGGTATCGAAGAATTATCGGATGCCGAAGACGAGAACGACCCACCACTAGTGCTGTCCAAGATTGGTGGGTTCGCTTCAGATTCCAGCGATCCCATACACTGCGCACTCCGTTTGAACTTGCCACCGGACATGGCTCTTAGAATCAAGGTTACCCGTGACTGCACTGCAATGCAAAGTGCGAACTGTCTGTCACTGTCTGTCTGTGCTTTGCAGCACTCTGAACATCTATCTATATTTGGACGCAGTGTGTCTAGTCTACACTGACACTAGCACAGCTTGCCTGCCTGCCTGTCTGTCCAGAAAACTTGTGCGCAAAGATTCAATGACTGACTGACGCTTGAACTGAGCTCACATAAGACTGTGACATGTGTGTGTGGCCAACCGCTGATCTGTTTGGGCTGTCTATTATTTATAACATGACTACTAATTATAAATAGTGGGCCCGGGTGCTTCATAAATTGGGGTTCATGCACTGACTGACTGCACTCCTGCACGCTGCACTCACAGTTTCTGACGATTCCAGTTCTAGTACCTTACAGTATTGATCACTCCTATTTCCTTATTACAATTACCTTATCTGGGGAATACAACCAGCCTTACATACAGGGTGATAAAGCAGCTACTGTCGCGAAAGGATGGATGTTGTACGTTTACTCTCATACTCCAGAAGGATAAGAAGGACGGTCAATCAAATTAGAGTCTCAGCAGCGAGCGCGTGACAGCTTCATGCATACAAGCCGCTAACGGCGGTCCATACGCTCCCATGTTGGCACCGAAACCTTCGCAATGCATTTAAGTTGCTCTAACTAACTGCTACATGACATGCAGGGTGCATGAAATTTGGGAAGGGCTGCAACAAAATAGTATTGTCAATTCAATTGTAAGGACTATCAGCCATCTAGAATGATTTCATTACTTTTGATTTTTATGAACTATTCAAGGATGAGGACCAACCACCTAACTATCCTACCGCAGATGGTGTTGAATTGAAACCGTCAACTGCCAGTATGCTGTCTAGGTTAGTACAACATCTAACAAGGCACTGCTCATGTCATGGCAACACCATTTCAGATGGTAAAAAACTTGGCTAGTGATTTAATTTAAATCAGTGGCTGCCCCAATTGTTAATCATAACTAATAATAATAATAAAAGGCCCAGATAGATTGTCCAACGGTATCAACCCCGACTTTTGACTGTGGAATTCAGTTCAAGCTATTACTAACTAAGCCATGGTCTCAACTTACTAATTCGCATTAGGATAACTACTGTTGCTGCATTGCTGCTAGCTGCGAAGCACAAACACAAGTATGGCGCAAACCCTGAATCAAAAATCAAGAATAGGTCAGACCAGCCACTGAAGAACTTGTAGGCCTCAACAGCAACCTTCTGGATGCTGCTGCCATCAAAGTTGACCTAGGCCCAGCCCGTCCCTTCCCGTCCCAAGTCCACCCAGATTTCACCCATCAGCTTGCCTGGCAATGCCCTGAAACAGCAACCTTAATTATTATCTTCCCTGACCGCACTGCATGGTGGCTGTCCATCTGCCCTGCTACTACTGCTAGTGCTAGTGCTAGTGCTGGTACTACTACTACTACTACTACTACTGCCACTAACCGAGACGACTACTAACTAGGTACGACTACTCAATTACTCAAATATTTCTTATTAATTAGGACCTTTCAAATTCTATTAGTATCTGACGCTTAGTCTTAGTATTAAAATATTCATTTAGTGCCTAGCTCTGCTTGTTGCACAGCAGTGCCCTGAGGCCCGCGCATGCAGCTGCGCATGTTGAGAAAACAGTCGCCTAGCCTCCACGATGTAGCACTCCTTGGCCCGGCATGCAATGCATGTAGACTCTCATTACTTATCTGGGTAATTGCTGAGCATGCTTCTCACACAGCTTAAGTATTTTAATTTGGGACAGACGGCAGCTGCCGAGGATAACTTGACGTCACCACTACCCCTGTCAATGTCTTATTATTAGTACATGGCATCCAGCTTTCCAACCACCGGCTCAGTTCACACTGACTAGAATTAGAAATTGAACCGTGAATCGCAAACCGCTCAGCTTGCAGATTGTGAGGTGCTGCTCAGGCGCCATGTCCCAAGCAGCCAAATACATTCCATGCAACTTCTGGCGGCCCTTGTCGATGAGCGCTTGCCGGATTGTGTAGAACCTTGGTTGTTACAAGGCGTTGCGACTGTAGTACTCAAACGAATTCTGAATACGGTTAGCATACACATAGACAACCTGCACACTCTCCACTGTCTTATTCCTGCAATGGCGCATTACATGACAGATTAGCATGGCAGCCTGGCATTGTGGTGGCTGAGCTGCAGGCACTGCGTTTGGTAACCACTGCATGGAGCCTTATAATTATAAAAAAAAATAGGTATCTGCTTGACTCAACTGTCAACTACTGCGCACACTGCACAGCTAATCAGATCCATTCTGTCACTAGTGTCACAGACAGGGTCCAATCCACTCAATGTCAAGATTTAAAGTTGCAGAGGAACCTGATTTAGATGCCACCGAAATGCTTTCCGTCCCTCAAAGCATCAATGAGTTCCATCTTTTCGGATGGTCGAAGGGGCCTGACCTTCTTAGGCACAATGGACCTGTCTGGCTTGGCGCAGCTCTGGGCCATGCAAGGTGCATTGTCGTCCTCGGCCATTACTTAGTAGTTACTTACTTCTAGAATGTAATGATGATCGATTTGCACGGCAGTGATAATGATAATGACGATAGTGTGCTGTGTGCACCGGCAAAAAGAATTACCTACACACCTCATCACTCTTACGATCCAGGATTCCAGGTCCTTACTTCATTTCTATTTCAGATTACACGACACTTGCAGGGCAAAGGTGCAGGCAGGGCCCACGACATCCATGACTGGGAAGATGAAGCCTACTTAGCAGGTTGGCTATAGTGACAATGGCTAGTGATAACTAGAAATAAAAAGGCTTGTTTCCTGTACTCTTGTCTTACTCATTATTAATAATCCGGCTGAGCTGAAGTTTCTACATAAAGAATTTCAGAAATGCAACACAATGTCCAGGAGCCCATAGTCCAGCAGCAGCATCCCGTATGTTGTGGCTCGTTCAATATTACAGATTTGCATTTTAATTTTACCTGACATTAGTCATTTAGGTAACTTAGACATGGGCTGCCACGCACCTGTATTTTTCACACTGCACTGGGCCTGGAAATGGCTGTTAATGAAAAATATGTTAATTAACCCTACTGAAACGAACAAGCTCAGCTGGTTATTTATGTTTAACCCCCCTGTGATGATTCAGTATTTTGAGTCTGTGTTATGCGTAAATCTACTAAGTTACTACCTTCTGAACTATGACTCAAACATTTCATGCTCATCGTCACTCCAACGAATGAATCAATGAACCGAACCAAGTCAAGTCCAATGAATGGTCCTAAATGTAAAGCCTTGTCCGAGAATCTGACTGACTTGTACTACTTCTGAAGTTCTGTCAGACAGATAAGCACTGACGCTTATCAACCATTAAGTTACTAACGGGCTGAGTCCACTAACCAAAATCTGAATTTGAAGTATCGATATGGACCAGAAACCAGGTACTCACTCCCTGACTGACTCGCTGTCTGAAGTGCACACCAGGACTCAAGGAAAGACGCAAACTGCGTCAGGATGCTGTAGGCGTTGCCCATCATCTGCTTCACTCTGACGTCTCGTGCGTCATGCTTCCTGAGCTCATGTCTGCAAGGTTTGAGTCACTGAGGTTTTGCTTGGGCCATGGTCCAGTGAAATCTGTGTGAGAGTTTAGGGTTTCCGATGTGTCAGTGGCTAGCAGCAGGTCCCTCTCACAAGCAGAATGGGATGCAGCAAGGGTACGGGTCCAGGGCGAATGCAATGACAGAGGCCATAGTCGACGCATGAGCCGGGGTGTTTACCCACACCTTTTGTGCATCCTCGGCTTGCTGAACTACAACAGTGTACCGATTGTGTGTCTGGGTCACAGATTGACTGACACCCTGCGATAAATGATAGCCCCTTATAATAATTATGATAATAATGGATGATTGACTGCTCGCTGTGATCAAATAAAATCGTTTGCATATGATATTTTCATGATCTCAGACTCTAGGTTTCCAATCAGAAATCAGGCGGGCATGTGCTTGCTAAAGCTGCTTAGGTTTCACAACCCAGGGTCCAACAACTCTTCTCCCCACATGTTCGTGAAATGCCTGAGGGAACCATCAGGCACCAGCCAC